CCCAAAATGCATCTGGGGCACTGGAGGGACGGCTGACCCTACACTGGAGGGAGGGCTGACCCTACACTGGAGGGAGGGCTGACCCTTCACTGGAGGGACGGCTGACCCTACACTGGAGGGAGGGCTGACCCTACACTGGAGGGAGGACTGACCCTACACTGGAGGGATGGCTGACCCTACACTGGAAGGAGGACTGACCATACACTGGAGGGAGGGCTGACCTTACACTGGAGGGACGGCTGACCCTACACTGGAAGGAGGACTGACCCTACACTGGAGGGAGGGCTGACCTTACACTGGAAGGAGGACTGACCCTACACTGGAGGGAGGGCTGACCTTACACTGGAGGGAGGGCTGACCCTACACTGGAGGGAGGGCTGATCCTACACTGGAGGGAGGACTGACCTTACACTGGAGGGAGGGCTGACCCTACACTGGAGGGAGGACTGACCCTACACTGGAGGGAGGGCTGACCCTACACTGGAGGGATGGCTGACCCTACACTGGAGGGTGGGCTGACCCTACACTGGAGGGAGGACTGACCCTACACTGGAGGGAGGACTGACCCTACACTTAAACCCCAAGCCTTGCTTGCTCGCATTCCAGTGTATCTGTACTAATACTTGTGCAAACAGCTAATAAAGTGCCCCCTTTAGCTTCTGATACATCGGAGGGAGGGGGGGGGCTTAGCTCATTTCAAAAAGCTGCTGGATTCATTACATCGTAAAGTCATCGAGTAACACCTGTTTGTTTGGCGATATACACCAGACAGGAAAATTCAGCATTACTGCTGGAAAAACGATCTCTAAGGCAAACCTCAACAAGTACAGCTGGAAATACGACCAGACTTGTAAGATAATATGACCTTATGCAACAAAGACTATTATCCTATTAACAGCACTCCTGAACCCAAGGAATGATTATGAATTATTTATATTAAGAGGTAATGTTTCTGCTTACCTGTCACTCGTGAGGTATAGCAGCTACGCTGAGAAACCAGGTACTGAGGTGTTTTTGCTGTTTTGGGTCCGACGGTTAATGAGAGTCCCAAACGTTTGTTTGTTTCGTGCAGTTTTGACCTCATCAGGACTATTTAGGTTGTAAATATTCTACAATATATGGGACAGGATTGACGGTTCTATAGTGTAGCGGTTATCACATCTGCTTTACACGCTGAAGGTCCTGGGTTCGAGCCCCAGTAGAACCAGTTTAATTTTGGGGCAGGATGCCTGATTCAGGGGGTTAGTCCTCAGTCACTGTATTTGGAAGCTCGTCGGCTTGAGTGTCAGCAGAATGGTCACATCTCCACTGGGGCATTAAGAAAGGCCCTTACCCCCCCCCTAGAAAATAGCTGATCCTGCTCTCAGACCCCAAGTTCAGCTCTGTAGGTACGTATTTCACTTAAAAAAGGAGAGCATGATGAGATATGTGGAAAAAAGCCTTCCCTGTACTTGCAAATACATTTCCTCATTTAGAATACCCATCCACAGATGAGTGCAGCATTTCAGCCTGTGTCTCGAGGGCTGTCAGTTCAAAACCTGTGACAGAGTAGATATATCAATGTGTGGCCCTTAATCAAGGCCCTTAACCCCACCTACTCCAGGCGTGCTGGATGCTGGGGGCCCTGATCTCCGACCCCCTAAGCTGTCCTCACTGGTACGTCGCTTTTGACAACTTGCTTTTGCCTTTGAATCTGCGCAACATAACATTTTTTTTAAGCTGCAGAGCGTGCAGGTTTTCCTCCAGCGAATCACTGAAGTGCTCAGCTAAACTAATCATTATGGTAATTTTACTGGCATTGCCAATCCTTTTAGTAGCATTAGGCTGTTAGGAATGAAAACCCACACACAGTGTAATCCTCCAGGATGTAACCTGAGAACAGCTGAAATGTGTTATCAGTGCCAAATCCTATAAGAGCAGTGATTCGGGGAGGGCTGAGTATTATTTTAATTTTTTCCTGTGTGCCTGCTCTCCGGCTCGGCGATACACGATACTCAGCATCGCTTTCCACACCTGCGGCACCCACCCCCTGACGTGTCTCCTTTGATCTGACGCTAACATTTTCTTCTCGTGTCTAAGACCAGAGAAAATTTCGCTGGATGGAATAATCAGGTTATTATGGGATGAAAAAGTGATTGTTGACTCCTCGCGATGGATACTAACGCCCTACACGGAGAATTAGACGGTGCCGTCTTGTACAGCCGCTCCGCTCAGAGCCTTCATATCCAACATCTCGTTCTGTTCAGTCCCCCGCTAGCTGGACAGCTTCCGAAACAATTTTCCCATTCAAAAGCATGGAGTACTGAGAAATATCCATTCTAACCTAACGTACAGATTTGTTTTGGGAAATTTTGCAGCAGTCATATGGCTACTATGAGCAACTTAGGACAAATAATAAAGTGTCGTCCTGAGTGTTTTGCTAGCTGAAAAGAACACGTAAATAAGTAATATGAAGGTATCGTGTTCACTTTCAACATAATTGACGTGAAAAAATTCTAGTCGACATCACAATGCATAATTGATGTGCCGTGGAATGTTTATGGATGTTATCGACCTGTGGATGGAGAGATGTGCAACACTTTCTCCACGTGTCGTACCTGGGAATCCGGCACGCTACAGTAGATCCCTGAATGGACGAGTTTGTGAAACAGCTGCTTGATCCCATGATTAGCAGTCAAGGCTAGGAGGAGAGATTTAGCTGGGGGTGGAGATAGTCATTACGGGGTTTGCACATTATACCCAGCTGGGGGGGATCTAAGAGAAGAGTGACTGTCTGTTATTAATGCATCCATTAACACCAACAACTGTGTTTAACGTTTCATTCTCATGCAAAGGAGCATTCATATGTGGCTGCTACTGAACTGAAGAAGCTAGAAAGATACCTACAGAGTGGTTAAGGACCTCCAAAAATAAAAGACGGCTGACACCTGGATTGTGGGTGGACTGCTACTCAGCACCGCTGCCATTAAAAATCATGACAGTAAGAGCAAAATATTATCAAAAAAAGGAAATATTCTCACACCTAATAAGACCTTTGGAAAGCTGCCACAATGTAGTGAGCAAAACTCTTAATTACTTAAACTGTTATGCGAAAAACAATGCAGGTAATTTGGCAATGTACCTAAAGACCTGTAGAATGTTGTTTTGCATGGTGCCTGAGGAACAGAGATCTACTGGCCTGCAGCTAAAGCGTGACTTACCGCATATCTCATTTAAAGCATGCACACAGGCTTAAGGTGCCCTCATGCTGGTTTGATAATTAATTTATTATTTAAATTATTGTTGCACATTTTATGGTGAAAATAAATGGATTCTCATTCTTATTTCCTCATCCATCATTCCAAGTCCATAATACTATTATATCAAGGGTGAAGATTTTGATATGAACAATAGGGACATGTCCCTACAAGTATTGTGGGAGTACTGTGTAGTATGGACAGTAGGGACATGTCCCTACCAGTATTGTGGGAGTACTGTGTAGTATGGACAGTAGGGACATTTCCCTACCAGTATTAGTTGGAGTACCGTGTGGTTAGGGGGGTGGGGGGTTTGGGGCTGATTTGATCCATAGCAATGATGAAACCAAACCTACGCCATCTTCAATCTAAACCACATTAATCATGATATATCTGATACATGTTTGTGAAAATAATTGTTTTGCTGTGAAAATATGGATAGATGTTTATTTTCCGCTTGATTTAAGAGGGCTGCTTGATATTAAACGTTATGTGGTCTAAATTCCTCGCTTGCCCCCTCCCCCCCATAAACTGAGCAGTGAGTGGTAAGCAGCAAACCGCCAATCAGAAGGCAGCGGTAAGAACAGCCTACCATCTCCTCTGGCTTATCGCTCCATTATCTGAAACAAAAATACGTGTCTAATTCTGCCTTCGCATCGTTATCTAACTCATCCTCCGTAACGAGCTGCTGTGAGAAATTGTCCACGTCCAGAGTGTCCAGGTAGCTCCCGACGGAAACGCCGTCAGAGCCGTCGCTGATGTCCTGCAGGCTGCCGCAGCTGCCCTTCAGGGAGGTCTCAGAGCTGTCCTGCAGGCTGTTGAGGCTACCCGCCAGGCTGCTGTCCCTGCTGGGGCCCTTATCCTCCATCAGCCACTTGATGGACTCAATGCCGTCGTTGATCGCCAGCAGCTGCTGCATCAGCTTGATGTCGATGGCGCGGAGGTGTGCCTGAAGCGTCGCGGAACACGGTGCGGTCGTGTCGTTAAACAAAGGCCGGACAGCAGGTGGCGTAACGGTTAAGGACTTAGATTCACATGTTAAGAAGCCATCCAAAACCCGGTTTTGTTTCAGCACTGGAATAAAAAGCCGAACACTTAAAATATATATAAAGTAGTCAATTAAAAAAATGCATTGCTAAGCACATTCAATGCAACAGTGGAGCTGAAAAAGCTTGTTTTATTCTATGGTAAATGAACTTCTAATCTCTGTTTGTTAGGCATGACAGTGAAATTAGAAAACCTGGAATCTTGAACAAATACGCCTATTTGCCATAAAAATGAAAGAGGTATTTTATTTCACATTAATTGCTTTAGTTTATAGCTGGCTAAGTCACTCGCCTTGCAGCTGTTAGCCAATTAATCCGTTATAGATGCTGCACAATTCACAGCCTTAAAACAAGGACACATTTTGTAATTTAATTTAGCGGCCGTAAGTGTCAGTCCGTTAGATATGTTATAGATAAACAAATACCAAGGCGGGTGTCGGATATGTTAAACAAACATAACAGACGATGCATTGGGTGTAACTGCGGCTTGACATGCTGCAGACTATAATCGTGCCATTGCCAGTTAAATGGAAAAGCTGCCGACCGGATTTAACTTCAAGGCAAGAGTTAACTTCAAAGGCAATGCAGGATTCATCGCCCTCAGCTGTAGTAGCATGCACCGTGCTGTCCATTGTAAGCTATTCATGTAAGCATTTCATAATATTTCAGTTTAGTCTAAGTTCCAGATACATGTTACCAGCTAGAAATCTGCATTGCGTGCCAGTTGTTCGTGTTAAAATTTCTGTCTTGTGTGAACACTGCCAGCCACGGTTCTGCGATTTTGTAAACTGCTCCAAATATTGATAAATCGTTGATCATGTGCCGTAAAACTAGGCTTGTGGCTTTTATTTACAGCAATTACCTGACGCCGTCACGCATTCTCATTTAAAGTGTCTTAGTTAAATTTAGGTAAGAAGGGCAGAGACAGCAGATGGTGGTTAAACGGGGTGATTAGGGAAAGTTTCATTTAAAAGAGCCCTATAGGGTATTTTGCTAAAATACACAATAACACTATTGTTAACGTATCCTTATTGATCATTGATTGATTGTGCGTGTGGGCCTACATTTATCCTACTCTAACTTAATGTGAATCTGCACAAGGTACCTGCTTGCAACTAAAATATGGTGCCATTTGGAGATACGTTTATGAGTACAGCAAACGCCATAACCCAAACCAATTGATGATTACTGGCTTTTTAATTTGTCGGTTCTAAGACATTGTATGGTTTCCCTGTTTAACCTGATCGTATATTCATATTTGTAGCATTTAATGTGTAATTAAATGCCTTATACCTAATATTACATCGATCTGATGTCAGAACTGATTCAGAATGCTGAAATAACAAACTGAATGTTGGGTCTAGACAATGACTGTTGAAATACTCGCAAGCTGGTGCCCAGCGTCCTAAAGCAGACGATTGCTTTGTCAGAGGGCTTGTTAAGTTAAAAGTGTCAGCAGTTGGCTCTACCTACCATCTCCTGCTTGAGTTGGAGCACCTTGCCCTGCAGGCGCCGGGACGCGCCCGCTTTGTCCCCCGTGTCACACGGCATCGCGATCTTCTCCTCCTTGGCTTCCTTTGACCTCCCTTGCCAGATCGATCGCATGAGACCTTCAGGTATTTTGCGACCCACCTTCGTCTCGATGTCCTTAAAATCCAGCACGGGGTTATCATCCATATCACGATTAGTCACGAAGTGATAAAAGTTTATAATGTACGACGCGCTCGGTTCACGCCATTTGCGCTCATAAATAAATGACTTGCGGCAATAGTTTGGTTTCTGCTACTTTCTTCGCTCGATGCATGAATATAATTGACGTTTCACTTTAAAAACAAATTATTTACAGTACCGACTAAAAATAAAAGTAGGAATAAAAGAGAGAGGCATGAACTGTAAAATGCTGTATTGTTTCAGAATGAATATTTGCCTTTGTAATACGTGCGGGGCCACGTTGTGCCCCGTAATACTGGCTGCTGCGCTCCTTCATCAGCCGAAAGTCACTCCGCCCTCCGACAGGTGGAGAAACGGCATGTCGGCCCCTTTCTGGGGTAACTTACGGGCTATCTATCAAACTCCATTTTTGTGGTCTTTTTTTATTTACTAGGCTTATAATTTAAGATATTCAACCAATAATAAGGTATAGTTACCCCCTACTGAATTTCATTTTGTAATTGTTAATTGTCAATATTGATTGATTGATTGGTTGGTTGATTCATTCATTCATTCATGCATTCTTTTTTGAATGTTTAAAGACTATAGCACCAAATATTACACTGTCGCCCCCTGGTGGACGAGTGGGCATGGTTTCTTTTTTCTAGGCTGGCTAGTTTTCGGCTTTGAAATCATGCCAAGCTAGTAGCATTTACTCTAAAGCCAATAAAACCGGTAGCTATTACAGCATAGCAGCACTGTTATGTCAGCTAACAATAAATGCGTCTTACGACATTACTCGCCATGTAGTGGCGGTACGGCGGTGTATTATGTTAAAGAACTGAGTGAATCGTCCTTTATTTACGATAGAAATTAACCAACTAGTTTTATTACCTGCGGTGAATACAGCTTTAATATATTAGTCTAAGCGCAAAGTAAGGATTTGCAGCCCTCTTTTAGCAATCGTAGCACACATGGTTGGGACATAACTAAACTAAAATCGTTATGCAAACTCATTTAGAAGGTAAGTAAAATATGTATAACCTTTATTTCTACGCTTTGAAAGTTATAAGTATTGAACTGCAACGTATGGGATAATTGCTGATGCTTTGTATGAGTAATATTGCAAGAAAAAAAGGCATATAATATACAGCATTTGAGAGAGACACTTTACAGCACAGAGTGATAGAGTGCTTATGCAAATGTTGGGCTTATGGAAATATGTGAGAACAGGAATTGGACAGTAAGTCATTTTAATGGGCACAACAGTGCGCAGGCACACTGAACGTGCTTCTGATAACGGGACACAGCATGTCAGCAGCAAGTCAGGTATGAAGTACATTTAAGAAAAGGTGAGGGGAGGGGTATCCAAAGAACTGGAGGCCGGGCATGACCAGAATCCACAGACGTGCGCCCTAAAGCGAATCCAGCTGCGTGTCTGACATCATTTCCTGTTCTTTTCTGTGGGAGGTTTCAGAGCAAGTTATCCTACAAAACAACAACAACAACTAATAACTATATTATTAGGCTATTGAAAATAATAGATAGATAGATCCATCTATTCATACATTCATACATACATATACGGTTTATACATAAACATCAGTGACTCTAATCAATATTAGAGCAGCACTGGAGAAGCTACTTTCACATTTTCACAGGTTCCCAAAATGAAACGCAGGAAGGAGAATATCTCTCAACAGTATGTCTTACACTTACTGGTGAGCGTGTCCACCAGTGGATTCCCGTTTGGGGGTTCGGCCTGATTCCAGATTTGACATTGTCTGTCTGTGAAATTACATGCAGGTATATTAGAGGTATCAGCAGCATTTTCACCACTGTCACTCAGTGCCTTAATTGGCACTAATGCCTTTTCAGTGATACATTGTATCGCTTATTTAAATCATTATATTGATTAAATCCTTTCACAATTAATTCAATGGACTGCTGGAAGAGAGGCTTACCTCGACGTTCTTTTCCTGTATTTAAGACAATATACAACAATAACAGCTGCTTCCAGGAAAAGGAATATGGCCGCAGAAATTGTGCCAATCTTCCATGTCTCTATGCCAAGGGCTGGAATTACAGTAATTATAATTACCATCCTTACCCACACTAATATAAATTAATATTATTTCAAGTAAATGTATAGTGTTTGTGAGTCATTTTAAATGCCTGATCCTATCACATATACAGTACCGGTCAAAAGTTTGGACACACCCACCCATAGAAAGATTTATTTGTACTATTCTAAACATTCTATACATTGAATAGTTATAAAGACATAAAAAAAAAAAAATTCAGATAACATATATGTAATTTTGCATCAACCAAAAAAGTATTCAACAAAAAAAAATTTTGGGGTGGAGGGGGGTAGTTCTATGGGTTGGTACTCAGAATGTTGCTGGTTCAAATCCCTGGTTCGGCAGAGTGATACCACCAGGGGCGGATTAAGGTGCACAGAGGCCCCTAGACTACAGTAGTCTGTGGGCCCCCCAACCCCGCCCCCCTCCGCGCCAATGGGGGCCCCCTTGCAGGCTGGCACACGTGGGGCCCCTAGGCTTAAGCCATATCTAGCCTGTGCGTTAATCCGCCCCTGGATACCACCATTGGGCCCTTCAGCAAGGTCCTTAACCCCAGTTGCCCCAGGGACTGGCTGATCCTACTGTCCCCTCTACACCAGTTCCATGAGGTGGCCTCCTGGGATGCTTTTCCAGCTGTCCTGTAGGAGGTCCCACATATGCTGAACTCTCATTGGCTGCTCTTCCTTCACTGTCTGGTCAAACTCCTCCAAAACCATATCTAGTGCATTTAGATCAGGTGACCAGGTCATGTGACATGACACCATCACTCCTTTGTTGGCAGCTTGGTGTGTCTAAACTTTTGACTGGCACAAGTATATTATCTGAAAAAAGTAACTTATTTTCATGGCAGGGTAATAATGAGCTTTTGCACTGCACCTGAACCATCTGTAGTGTCCTCTAATAGCTCATGGCTGAGATCTTCATCTTCGTTTAAAAGACTGGGGGTTGTGGATGCAACATCCTCTAGAGAATCATCCAGAGTCGGCATGGTCTGTGTCTGCTCCAGGTTCAAAAGTCCAGTGTCGGGTGTCACCATCTCACTGAAGTTATTGGTGTCCTCCGCAATGTCTCCGCCCATGACGTTACTCTCCGGGTGAGACTTCCTCCTGATGCTACCATGTGACCGTGGTGATACGTAAGTGTGAAATGGAGCAGGGGGCAGATCTGTGACACGGGGTAGACATTTAGCGTCGCAGTGAAAATTGGATGGAGACCGTCTGAGTTACGGGCTAATATGTGAAATGAAAATTATTCTCTGCACGTGTACCTGTCACCTTGAGAAATGCATTTTGGATTAGCATTCAAAACACAACGTTAAATATATGAAAATTAGCTAGCCTGTATTTCTAATTTATTTATTGACCCTGTGTTGGATAAGCAGTTACGGAAAATGGATGTATTCGTTTGTATAAAGCACATAATTTAACATGATTGTAAATAAATTAGTAGCTCTTATTGGTTTGTTGATATTCTTAAATTACCATAGTTCATGAATTTACTCTGATGGAGAGTTGTTGTTGTTGTATTGTTTGCACCTTTCCCCAATTCACTGGTTTGTAAATTTACTCTGATAGAGAGTTGTTCTTGTATTGTTTGCACCTTTCCCCAGTTCACTGGTTTGTGAATTTACTCTGATGGAGAGTTGTTCTTGTATTGTTTGCACCCATCCCCAGTTCTCTGGAGAACCTTCTTATGATTATGGCCCATGAAAGAATTGATTCGTTAAATATTTTGGGGGAAGGGATATTTTTAAAAAATGCCTATCCTAGTGACACAAGAGCTCAAAATGCTGTGGCATTTGAAACCCATTTGAAATACCACTTACCTTGTGTCTCAATTTCACTTTCATTTGAGCCTTTGCTTGTGAAAATGTCTACCGGAACTCCATCTCTGACCTCCAGGTCAACCTCCTCTTTGTCTGCAAACTCTACCTCCACATCTGGTCCAACCACTTCTTCCCCATAGTTCTCAAAATCCTCCACTCCAAGGTCTTCCTCGTACCCCTCTTGCATCCCCATCCTGTCCTCCTCCTCAGATTCTCCTCCAGCCTCATTCTTGACATCTTCTTCATCCCCTGCACCAACCATTTGGTCAATGCCATCATCAGCCTGATCATTGTAGCCTTCTCTGCCGTTCTTCTCCTCCACCAGAGCAGCCACCTCATCAGCCATTGCTGGAATCCCCTCTCTAGGATCAGCCTCAGCCTCTTCTGTGTCTCGTTCTCCACCCTCCATCTCTACACGTTCTCCCTTCATGTCGTCCACACTGTGTTCCACACTTTCTGGTTTCTCTATACTCTCATCTGACATTTTTGGCTCAGTTGCTGTGATCACAGTTGATGGAAGGTTTATATCTGCTGAAAAAGGTGTCCTGGAAGTAACAATATCTTAAAAATATAAACAGTAACTATTAGCTCTGCATTTTTATCTTCTCATTGAACTTTTGACATAAAGAACACAGTGAAATGTGTTAAAATCAGGTTCTGCAAAAAGCAGAAACTACTGAACATATGAAAAGTACTAAAAAATCATTACACCTAAAATGCCCCAATAAAAATATCAATATTGGCTGGTCTTATGAATGATGTCTGCTAATGATTAATCAGAACTACCAGCTTGTACTTCAGAACAACAGGATTTTGCTAAATCTAGTTACAAAGGTGTGAATTTCAAATATTACCTAAAATATTCTGCAATGTACCACATCTATATGAATAGTTATTCTGGTGCATCTGTAGCTTTCTAATAAATATTGGCAAGAAAATAAATAAAACAAACTATGTAGAATTTAATAAAAGTAGGAGCTGCCATACCTTGAGACTTGCAGACATATAAAAGTAGAGTGAAAATAATTCCTCGAAGAAGAGATGTTCCCATTGTGGTTCCACAATGGCTTTTCACTTGGCCTGTATCTCAGAGCAGGTAGAGCCCACAGATCCCTCAACACCCAATGATGCCAGAGCTGTTTCAGCAGCAATATTTAGAATCAGGCCCTGAAGCCATGTTGAAAATCAGCTTTGGCTGTTCTGGCTGCGCACCAGAATGGAAAAGTCACAGATCACTGTGAAATACTCGGGGGAATCGTATGACCAGTATGTTAAAAATAAAGCGGCATGTCACAGTCACAGTGCCAAAAACTGTAGGTGAGATGTGACAGTCAGTCCTAAATCAGTCCAACTTCAATATATTCTCTTTGCCTGATTTTGTAAATATGGATGTTCCCAAATCTCATCATTATTGTCCTCTACGTAACTTTCCCTTTTCCAGTTCTGTATAAAATTTTGTCTCAAGGTCTTGTAGTGAATTTCTTTCATTTCCGTAAGTGTTTTGAAACATCCTTATTCCCGACGATTGATGTTAGCATGAGTGAAACTGATGGTATTTTAAGGTGAATGTTATATCTTGATATAGAAGTATGACGTGTAAGTTTTGTGCTTAGCATTAAAAGTATGTGTCAGTGACTTTACATACGGATCCACATAAAATGTACATTGTCTTGGAGAGTTGAATAATAAGGCCTTACAATATAGTTTAATCTAATCCTCCTTACCTTCCATGGAACCAGGCTGAGAGAAGTCTGAATGACCCTCGTCGTTCATATCTAAAATATCCTCACAAAGGGCTCACCACCTGCAAACTCATTACCAATACTCTAATGCTCATTAGGGAAGACCATTTCTAACCCTATTTTATAATTCACCTACATTTGCATTCCCATGGTTTTTCTGCAAGGTCTTTGTTGATAAAAGATCATACTTCCTTTGATTCCAAACACATTTTAATTGATGGTAATGAATAAAGAAGAGCTATTCAGTGTTCTGTCAACGGTAAACAAATAACATTTATGGCTTGTTACACTGTCTTATGCTCCGAAATAGAAAATATGATTACCGACAGCTTCATTATCTTGGTCTTAAGGGAGCCGTGTAACATTTTATTGCAGATTTTAATAAAGGAAAAGTGCCGATTCATGCTTGCGTTTTGGTTCCGTGAACAAAGCGACTCCATGCTTTTCCGTCACGCATAATAAACACGGTTATCATCGCTCTCTCCGGCGCCGTAGCTCTGGCTGGGCGTCTGAGATTTAATTATATTCAGCATAACCAAGGGTTAGACACAACTCAGGTCACAAAATCAAGCTCCTATCCCCTTGCATACGCCATTCGAGCAGCTCATATAACAACGAGAATTACAATTCACATTATCAGACATCGAAAAGCAAACCATCATATATTTTATTAGCAAGAAATTTTATGTCCTCACTTAATGTCATCTGCTCATCAGTAATATTGACGACGATGATGGTGATGATCACCTCGCAACCCTGACCAGAGTAAGTGGCTAGTACGGGGGGATTTCTTGGCCTTCTGTGTACCTGAAAGGCGCAGTCATGCATCACGCCCCAAGGTCCCTCAGTAATCTCTGCAAATCATCGCCATCACTACCGCTGAATCACATTTGACCTCCAGAGCCGCCGAAATCCTTTGGAATCTCTCGGATTTTGATTCAACGCTCAGCTCTGACTAGATTAGCAGTCGGGTGATTGGAGAAGCACAAATTTGAAACATCGTGACTTATGCTGTGTCAGTCGCTGTCGGGTTCAACCGATGGGGTCCAATGAAGTACCCAAGGTATGCAAGGGGAAATGAGTTAAAGAAGTAGCACCCCTTGTGCATTTTATATCCTCATTTCTCTTATCGTTACTGTCACTCAAACTAGCTGTGAGCGTATTCATAGACATACGTAGATTTTCAAGCCCACAAAGAGTTACGTGTACCCACTTACGTTAACATCATAATTCGATTTCTTCACTTGGTGTTAAGTTAATTCTGCTTAATTTAAGGAGATATGTGGGGCTTTCTGGCTTTACTACACCCATATTTTGCTGAGGGAAAAGTTTTGTCTAAATAAAGTAATTAAAAACCCCGAATGCTGAAAAGAACAAGAAAAATGTATTTATTTGTTTTGATTTATCTATCAGGATTTCAGTAAAATTGATATCTGTTTACACATCAAAATATGACAAAATCAATTTTATTCAAATTTAATCTTAATTAACACTTTTAGCGCACTTAATTCAATGTTCTGTGCAATTAACTTCAATGTAATGTACCTGAATGTATAAATATGTTATATTTTCATTGGCAGTTTATTTCTTCTTGAGTTTGTATTGGATAAATTCGACCAGCAGATGTCTCTGTTAGCTCAAATTGTGAGCTAACGCTTTTGCATGAAATGCTGCTCATTTTAAGAGGTCATTTCAAGTACCTGAGGTTTGACATCCAGTCAATTCTAATTTGACTCAAGCCGGAATACCAAATGAGCGGGGGAATGGTTTTATAAGCTTTGCGGAATTTCAGAACCATCCGTCTCAAATTCAAATACTTTCTTTTATGAGCACTGCACAATAGATGGCAATTCTGAGTCGGCATTATTTTGATTGAAGATTTCGTTAGCTTTGTTTCAATCCGACACAGTCGCTAATGAGTTGCTGAGATGACGTTAATTAGCGCCAATAAACAGCGGATACCGGTGCTCCAAAGTTGCTTGTTCGTGGGGTTTTATTTAATTTATTTTTGTCAGGCTTCCTCATACTGTATAAACAACCCCCCCCCCAGTTTCCCGTTGCATCAGCGGCAGCTACAGTATTTGCACGAACCCTGATGTCAGCTACTTAAACGACGTGCGCGCACACACGCACACGGACACGCGCGCACGCAGACGGCTAGTTGTCACTCGGGAATCATCCTAAGCGTCATTACTCTCCTGGAAAGGCTCACGGCGTGAGAGTCACACTCATCATCCCTGAGTGGAGCTCCCTTAGCATACTGACATCCTGTGGAAATGAGGGGTGGAATTAAAATGTGCCGGGGGTACGGTAAATCAGCTGGGGCTTAAATAAGGACTGACCAATCGCCGTGAGCCTGATCATTGCGTTCAGCCATGGTAATCAGCTGGTATATTACCCTACCGTAACCACACCTAGAGAAATTACCACGATAGGTTAGGGTAAAGTGTAACGGGCACACCTGCTGTTGAATACTGTTTTGACGGTTAGAAAATACACAAAGGCTTGACCTGTCCTTTGGTATGCCTGACAGTAGTCAAAATGTTTCAGTGGCAGACTGAACCTAACCCTCACCTCTCATTTCAACTCTTATAAAGTGCCATTTTCATGCTATGATACAGGCCTAAGTAGGAAAATCAGGTCATGGAGTTTTTCTGCACTCTCAGAAAAAAGGGCAAAATCTGTACCTTCGCTTGTCACTTTGCTGGTAATTGCACCTTTTAAGATACAGAAATGGACTCTGAGTAGCATCCCAAAGGCACAAACAGCATTAATGTACCATCAATGGTACAGAAATGTACATCAGAGTTAATTTCTGTACCTTAAAGGGTACAGTTACCTACAGTTAAGGGTACAATCGGCAGACCCTTGAGGGTACAACCCCAGGGACAAGCAAAGGTACAAATTTTTCCCTTTTTTTCTGAGCGTGTACCATACAGCAAAGTGTTTTATGCTCTATCTGCTTCAGTACGTCTGTAATACGGCGCTGACCAAACCATATCTCTGAGTGTTCAATGTTGTTACCATTAGCTGAGGAAATAAACTCGTCCTTAAAAGTAAGTGACAACCTGATATATTTCCCCCAATAAACACAGACACGGGTTCCAACTATTAGAATTAGAATTTAGTGATCATTGTCAACACACCACAGCACACAGTGCGCAACAAAGAAATGCGTCCTCTGCAGTTAAATATCTGGCACAGGGTCAGTGACAGTCTGTTTGCTATCACTCTGAATCTGAATCTCAGGTGTAGCTTGGTTATGACACTATTATTTAAAAGCTTTGGACTTCCAGGCAACAGGAAACATCACCATTACAATCTCTGTTACTGAAACAATGTTTTATTTGCCATTTGCACAAGTACAGGTATTGAAATATTTCTTTTCAAATATTCCATCTTGCCCTCCTTTCAGACAGACAGACAGACGGGCACGCACACACACACGTCTGAAATTCATATCTTTGTGGGGACCGTCAATTCATTTCTACATGAAAAACCCTAATCCCAACAATGACAACATTAACCCCTACCCAGCCCTAACCTTAACCATAAAGTAACCAAACAAAATACAAGACTTTTTAGTTTTTTGTTTGCAGTCACAGTCACATTTGGTCCCCACAATGTAACATATACATGTATATTATATTGATTATGGTATATTCATTATCATCAATTATATTATATTGATTATATTATATTTGATTATGATCAACTGTATCGCACTATATTTTGATATTTTTTGCTTAATGGTAAAACTGCTAAAAATGCCAAAAGCAGTGAAAAGTTATGAAATCAGTATTTTATTACATTTTGATTTTTAAACACAAGATAGTGCCTCAGTACCTGGGAAAGGCTGTCACTTCTCAAGTCACATCCAGGTTTTCAAATCTCACGCGATATTTACCCGCATGCGTGTTCATGTATGTGTTTATCGTGTGCACGCGAGTCTATAAAAGGAGCCTACGTCTCCTCCTTCCTGTCCAAACACACGATTTCAGGCCAGCTTATTACTCCTGTATATGTGAGTCAAGGGTTTACAGTGTCCCCTGGCCTGGGGTCCAAATGACTGTTACCCTTATTAGTATATAAATCTGTTATTGCTCAGATTTATGAAGAACGGGATAATGGGGGTATTTCAGTTCTACGCACGAGGAACCTTGTCAGAAATCTTATACAAAAGCTGTGAGGAAAGAGTTTAGCGAGTTTAATATATGCGGTAAAGAGACAGTATGTTGAAAACAACAGTTTCCTCCTGGGAAATCATTAAATGACTCTGGTTATTTAATACTTGATCCATGGTGTTATTAGAAGGGAATGGATGATGCATTCAGGAGCCAAACATCAATACAACTCTAACACAGTACAGAAATGAAGCGGCCATTCTTATAAATAAAGAAAAGCATGATTTGGAAACAATACGTTAAAAAACTGGGATCAAAACGTGATGAGGTAATTCACATTATTTAACACTAGAGGGTGCTACGCAGTATATATATATATATATATTTATATATAT